CAAACAGTACAGAAAATGTTGACATATTTCGGAACATAATTATATTTTATTTAAACGAATATTTCGTCCTGTCCTGAAGACTTCATCAGCGTAACTGATCTACATTGCATAAAGCTAAGTAATATATACAATAAAGGTGATAGTTATTTCTATCAATAGGCGTCTAATTAAGAGATTAACAATGAAACTGTATAGCGTATGTAATGAGTGTCATTCTCAAGAATGAGAGAATGATTCTCATTACATACGCAATTTGGCCTCGAGCCACTATATGTGGAATTTAATAAATTTGAAATAAATTAAACATCTCTATTATTGTGCTTTTTCTAATGTAACTTAACACTTTTTAATGTCAATTTTATATTGCTACTTTTAGAAATGAATTAAACATCTCATTGCTATTTTTCTGAATTTACAGTTTGTGTAACTTAACTTTTGTACGCTATTTGAGTGAGTAGGCCTATATTGCATTGTAATTTCAGCATTAATCTTAAGGGACATATCACAGCATAAACAGAAAGTACCAAGCCAACGATGGCGCCAGGAATTTTGTTTTTACTAGTCAAATTTTCATTTTTTTTATATATATATTTTCCAAATCTTGATATTATATTCTTATTTCTTATGTTAGTTTTGTACGATCGAGACATCCGTTGTCGAAATAGGTGATTTGATTATTACGAAATGGTTTAGTATGTTTTGCAGTAAGATTTTAAAATTAAGCAACAAAACCAGTTTCGTAAATGGATAGTTTGATCATAACAATCTTTTTTTTTATATTGCTAATTTTTTTTTTTTTTTATATTGCTACTTTTAGAATTTTACCTTTTTTAAAACTTGAAACTTACATGCAATTTGGCCTTGGGCCACTATATGTGGAATTTAATAACTTTGAAATGAATTAAACATTTCTTTTATTGTGCTTTTTCTGATGTAACATAACAATTTTTAAGGTCAATTTTATATTGCTACTTTAGAAATTTTACATTGTTTAAACTTGAAACTTACATGCAATTTGGCCTCGAGCCACTATATGTGGAATTTAATAAATTTTAAATAAATTAAACATCTCTTTTATTGTGTTTTTTTTTTTATCCCAGCTTGGTAAAATGAGCACTTGTAACGGTCCGTGTGCACACCCACTGTCCTCATTCTACCACTTCTGCCTATGCATCTGGTCAGATGATAGCATTGATGAGCTAAAATTATGCTTTGAAACAACCATTGGGACATCTTCACAAATATGTCTTCACTGGATGAGGCCACTGAGGCTGTGAGTTCATGCATAACCTTTTGTGTGTCATCAATCATTAAAGAAAAAGAAATTAAGATATACCCCATTGGCGGATCTGGGGGTGGGGGGTCAGGGGAGTCCTGAACCCCTCTTGGAAAAAAATAAATAAATAAAAATACACACATAGGCCTATTTACTGTAATAAGAATGAGACCGTTTACAAAAGGGGAAAACCTTGAATTTTGATTAAAAGACTTCAGAAGTCCGAAAAAAATAATTGTTCTCGCCATCTAAGAACCAACATTTTCCTGGGGAGGACCCCGACCACCGTCTTATTTGGGGTTCATCGATTTATTGAAAAAAGAATATGTATGCAGCGTAGTAGTATTTACAGTAATAAGAATGAGAAGTTTACCCGAACGTTTTCAAGCGGAGGAAAACCTTAAAATTGTAAGAACTTAAAAGTCATTAAAAGTCACCTCTGAAGTCGGGAAAGCTCATTTCCTGCCATCTAGTGATCATATTTTTTCCGGGGAGGGCTGTGGAGCCGTGATATGTGCGAAAACCTATATATGTGCAAACAACCATATATGTGCAAAATTTCGTCGTGATTTGTGCAAACAACAATATTTGTGCAAACGCGGCGCCCATAAATATGCACATCTGTAAAAATTCATCAACCACTTATTAGTCCGGGGAAATATGTCCAAAAATAAGCTCCCGTGGGATTTTTGTGATCATTTTATTTTTTTGGATGAAATATATACCTTGAAGTATGCTGAATCGAATAACATGAGTCGCAATTTCTTTTACACTCATCTTCATATGCAAATTAGCTGAAATATGCAAATTAGGTCTGGAAATGTAGGGTACTTATATCTTGGTAACCACATGTCGTAGACAGTTGCTTCTTTCTTAAAGTTGTTCAGAACATGCATGTTTCTATTTACCCTAATGAAACATTTTCTTCAAAAATGACTGGAAGTGCCATCTTGCCGACCTTATTAGCATAAATATGCAAATTAGGGGTGGAAATATAGGGAGCTATATCTGGAAAACCACTGGTCGTACAGAGTTGCTTTTCGCAGCAAAATGTTTAAAACATGCATATTTATATTTACTATAATGGATAATTTTCTCTAGAAATGACCGGAAATTGCGTTTTTGATCTTTGACCTCAACTTTGCGTGATTTTAATATCTTGGCAACAACTGGTCGTATAGAGTTGCTTTTTGTAACAAAATATTTACAATATGCACATTTTTACTTTTAACAGAATAATTTCTCAATATCAACCAGAAACTTTTTTATTGACCTTTGACCTATCTTTACAGTATATAGGCCTATTATGTATGTATATATACCTAATGATTGAAATTAAAAAAAAAAATGACAAATTCAATAAAAAAGAAATTAATACTTTTGAGGAAATTATCAACGAACAACTGTTTGGTAATTACTTAATTCAGCTGGGAAATAAATCGTTGTTCTACAAACACTGGATTAATAACGGTATAATTTTCATTAAAGACATTGTGTATAAGAGACAGGATCAGAAGTTTATATCTTCAGATGAATTATTGGTGAAATTACGGTGTAAATCAAATTGGCTAAGTGAATATTTATGTATATTGAAAGCTATACCAGATCAATGGAAACATATCATAAAGGTCACAAACAATTGCAATTATGATATTGTCAACATTAACCGAAAATATGACGGCATTAAAACAAAAACTGTATATTCATGTTTTGTAAAGGAGGCTTTCATTCCACCCATTGGACAAAAAAATGGGAAGCTTATTTCTTTGATAATTATATTGATTGGAAATCATGCTGGTTACATAAAGTTTGTAAAATGAAAGATAAAAAATTAGCGCAGTTTAACTATAAACTTTTACATAGAATATTACCAACTAATAAAAACTTATCTATATGGAAAGTAAAAGACTCAGACAAATGTAATAAATGTAACCAGATTGAGGATGAGAAACACATGCTCTTTAGTTGTATAAGTATCAAACCTTTTTGGAGAAGAGTACGAAATATATTAAGAGCTGTTGGGTACACACATAGCCTGTCGTTCAAACATCTTGTAATTGGAACACAGAATGTATTAATTGACTTTATTTACACTTCGGCCGCTTTTACTATTTACAAAGAAAGGATTTTGTCAGAGTTAAATAAATCAAGGCGTACCTCATTATATATTTCTACAAATAATACAATGCATTGCTTAGAATTAAATGGGACATGTATAATAATGAACAAAAGGTTAAAGAAAAGTGGAAAGAGCTACAACAAATATGGAAGGTTTTTTAAAGTAAGAACTGTAACACTTAAAATGTATATGTAATAATTTTTTGGGGATGTTTAAATGTATGTGTATTTAAAGGGGAAGTGCGGGGATGAAATGATTAATTTTTAATTTAAAATAGAGGGATGGGCGACTACAATGACGGTGACGGCACTCGATTTTGGAGCGCGGTATTCGAAAACGAGGCTCGTGAACTGGGTCCCAAAAAAAAACTGGTGCTAGAGGATTTTGAGCTAGTGTTATAAAATAGGGAATTTCCTAAAATGTACCGACTTTCAAAGGCTTGCATTCGGTAACCCCATAAAAAATCGTGTCAAACTTTAGATATTCCAATGTAAATTTGGCCGTTCTTTTCATTTATATGGGTTTTCACTTGTCTCTTATACACATCTAGATGTGTATAAGAGACAGATAACAGCTCCCTGGGTAATGCTAAATCATTGGATTATACCTTACAGCTAATGTCAACTTTTTAATGTTGAAAATCTCAGATAACACATGTTGTCACAACAAATCAAACTGTACATAGTCACTTTATTTATTCAAAAAACTTGGCAGTGTCCATGTTAGTTCATAATCATTGATCACAGCTAGACCAGCTATACTTGTGTTGCCCATACATCATACTAGCTCATTTTAATAATAATAATGACTTTATTTGAAAACGGAAAACTTGATCACAAATTAAGTGTGTTTTTCACAAGGCCATTTCTGAAGTACATAATAACAAAATTTAAATTACAAAAACAATTACAAGACAAACAGAAATAAAGAAGTAAAAGAAACCAAAATAAAACAATTACTGTATTATCTTATGCAAGTAACTTTCAATT